AGTGTAATGCTAATAATTGTGGTACTGAGAGTTAGTGCAACTCTTTGAGAGACACAAACAAAGAGAAGGAAGGAAGATAATTTAGTGTATATTCAACAATAATAGCTTTTAGCTGATAGAAACCAGGACAATAGACTTGGGAAAAGCGACGCTAATTCCCATCTGATGGGCACGATAATTTTTATTATATCTAAACCGGTAGCATATTTGAGCACAGCACAACATGTGCCTTGAGCATATCCCACATTCGTACTGTCCACATTTCACACAATGCCTGCCTCTTTGGGTGCTTGAATCTAGCCTCAATTGTCTCATGCATTGTGTTTTATCAGCATTGCATTCGGCAGTACTGTCTCTTTGTTGGTTATCGTTGTTCACTTTTCGCTTCTGCAATCCACAAACTTCACTAAACTCAGTCCTTCCCAGCTCGCTTTCAGGTGAATCAGAGGAATGTGACTGGGCCCAGTTGTCCAGTACGGCGTTGTTCCGACTCCGGAAAGTTGACCTGCTCTAAAATGACGACGGGGCCTTGGCAGGCCGGAGAAGGCAGACAGTGGCGAAGAGGGGCAGAGCTACTGTTTGGCCTGCCTGGCCAGGTCCAGGGACTGCGACGGTTCCACACTAGACTTGAAGGAAGTGAAAAAAAATGTTCAGCAAAAGATCCACAGCAAACGCCGGATTCCAGTCTCCGATGGCATCCTGCTTTCTGGGCGACGGTTGTCGGCATGGCGGAACTCAAGCGGAACCACCCTTCTGGCGGTATGGAAGAATGACGCGACAGGACATCCGACAAGCTTCAGCAGGCGACCAGACCTAAGCAAACCAATTGGTCTAACCTCGTTCTACCAACAGGGTCGTGCCGTCAGGGCGACATGGAAGAATGTACATTTTCCGGCATCCTCTGCTATAGGAGGCAAGATAAATTTGAGGTACTACTGCCAACGTGCTTGAGTTGAAAATGGTTGCTCCCTATTTCTGGCAATCTTGAAAGCATTTTTTTATGATTTCATACTTTGTAAGTGTCGGGCCTGTTGTGAAAGTAGGTTTCAAGCACAGCATGAGAGAACAGAGGCTGGTTAAAATGACGAGGATAGCTCTCAGATTTGGACCAGTATTTTTTGATATATGAAAATGCTCCGAATTTAACGTTCTCACAAATTTAACGTCTTTTTGAGTGTACGCGAAGACACCATGGATTTGCTCTTAAACCTTGCGTAATCGAAGATACATGCATAGCTGAAATGTGTTGAAGACGTGAGTTCATCGGGGAAGTTTGTCGGAAGGACCACCATATATATACCAAAGAGGATAGGTATTTGCTTCTGCAGAGAGATATAGAAATGTGTCGAGCCCATAAGCAATTTAGGATGAGGACTGGAGTTGTTTCAAGTACAGCATTTTGCAGAATATGAAGAATGTAGCCCTGAGTATACGATTGCGGATCAATTGAAAGTAACTAATTGACCAATTTGTTGAGAGAAATGAGCTTTATTGTGAAACAAACGAGAAGTAGCA